TATACCTACACAAGAGCAATACCCAAATGGCTTTCTGAGGGAAAACCTCACAAGAACCACAGAGAAGAGAGGTTAGATGACAAATTCAAAGCTCTTTTTTCATCTCAGTGCTCAGACTCCCATCCAAGAATTTCCAGGCATGGTGGTGCACACTTGTAGTCCTTGCTTCTGGGGAGGCGGAGGTCGGTAGAATGCTTGAGTTGGGAGCCGTGAGCTTCAGGACAGTTAAAGCCAATCTGGTGCCCACAGTAAGTTTGGCACCAATACGGCAAGCCCCGGGGAGTGTGAGGCCACCAGTTTGCCTACTGAGAAGCAACATGGCCCAGAGTGGAAAAATGGAGCTGGTCAAAGCATCTGTGATAATCAGTATTGGGACTGAGCCTATAAATGATCACTGCACTTTTAGCCTGGGCAAGAGAGGGACACCCAGTCTCAAAAAAAAAAAAAAAAAGAATAGTTGGAAAAAGTATATGAATGTGAAGGGGCGCTATTGTGTTGTAAGAAATGATGAAGAGGATGGCTTCAGAAAATCTTTGGAAGATTTTTATTAACTGATACAATGTAAAGTGAGCAAAATCAGAATAATCTATACAATAACAAACTATAGTGTAAAGAAAATCAACTGTGGAAGACTAGCAACTCTGATCAATCCAATAATCCACCCCAACTCCAAAGGACTCAGACATAAAATGCTATCCAATCCCAGATAGAGAACTGACAGACTCACAGTACAGACTGAGGTATATTTTCCCCTTCTTTATTTTTCTTGCCTTTCCTCCCCCCACCCCTAATATGGCTAAAGCAGAAATATGTTTCACATGATTGTATATGTATAATGGGTATTGTATTTCTTGCTTTCTCAGTGGTGGGAGAGGAAGGGAGAGAATGCGGAACTGTAAATAAAAATTAAATTAAAATTAAGAAAAAAATTGTAAATCTCTGCTTATATTCCTAGTCCCTTCCATCTGCCTTAAAAGGAAAGAGTCCAGAAAAAAGCATGGAAGAACACTGGACTTGAAGTCCAAAGAATTGGGCACAAGTCTTGGCTTTGCCACATACTAGCCATATGTCTCTGAGAAAGTAATTTCTTCTCTATGGGTCTCAGTTTCCTCATTTGTAAAATGAGAGAACAGGTCCTTTCCATATTAGATAATATGCTCTGAGGCATGATATTTTTCCTCTGAAAATGTGTGACAATGAGCAAGTCTCTTCATCTCCCTAAGCCTCAGTTCCCTTCTCCGTAAAATGAGGGAGCCGAAGTAAATGCTCTCTGAGGTCCCTTCCAGTTCTAACAAACATTCTGGTTATTCTGCAAACAAACCAAAAAAAGCCCAAAAAACAACAACTTCATTCTCCATCTGGATGTCTCCCATTTGTCTCTGTCTGGGGATGATGATTATGTTAAACACACCAAAGAATGCCTATGACAGATTGATATTCCCAGCCTGTCTCCCTTTTACTCAACTCAAGGACAGTCCCTTGATGCCACCTAAGAAATCCATTCAGCTGAACCACCCTGCTATACATTCACTAACTGCCTTCAGAGTCCCCCAAAGTGAAGGGAGACAACAGAAAGCAATTTTCTACAATGAGGTAAAAATGGGGGATTTATTTCCAGTCTGCAAGATCTATCTACTCAGGAGGCATATTTATAAGAAGGCCTTGAGAGGTGATGTATTTCTGGTCTTTCGCTGACTCCATTTTCTGCTGCCCACATCTGCCATCCTCCTTTTCAGAAGAGAAATCTCTGCTCAAACTACTGACCTCAGAGAAAGTCCCAGAGAGCCCTCAATCCTTCAAAAAGATATATTCCAGCTCTGAGCCAAACCAGGCAGCACAAGCAGAAGGGAGGGTGCCTCCATCAGCACTAGTCATGGTCTCATTTGCAGGTGGGTCTGAGGCTGAGCAAAATAGTAAAGAAAAGGAAACCCCTCCTTTGTGTAGCCATTTCCCCCTCCTTTGATTACTCTTCCCTCCCAGATTCAGACATCTTCCTTTTTTCCCCCTTAGTCTGCCCTCCCTTTATCAAAGCCTGGTCTCAGGGAAGGATCTGAGATCAACCATGCTGCTTCTGTTAGAGGTTATTTTTTATATTTTTAGCCTTTTATCTCTAATTGTAGGATGAGAAACTTTGCTGGTTAAAGGAATTGCAGTCCCAGGGAGCAGGTGGGAGAGGGATTATCTGAATTATTACTGTTGTCATTATTATTATTAATACATGTCTCATTAAGAATTTAACATTGGATAGCAATCTCAACTACTTACTCAAATGGATCTATTCTCTCACTGATTTGAAAGTTATCTCCAGTTATGCATATCATGAATCATTCATTCCTGTCCATCTTGAGTATGTCTTGTTCATGCCCTTCTATGAGTTTGTTCATCTAAGGTGCTGGGGGCTTTGCCTCCTTTCCCCTGATATTGCAATGATACCATTGGAACACTTGGGCTGTCCATCTGTTATCCCTTACTCTTGTCCCATGGCCAGACCACTTTCTGTTTTGGCTCATGCATTCCAACAAAGACATATTTTATTATAACTCTCCAAAGTTCCTTATGGTTATCTGTTGCAGCTTACACACAGCATGTGCCTTTCCAATAACCCCTGGTGCAACTAATTTTTAACTCCTCAGGAGCCACAATATTCCAAGATTCACAGTCACACAACACTTTCAGTTTGTTATCTACTGAACATCAATACAATTAACCAACTTTTTGTTGTTGCTGTTTAGTTACGTCTGACTCTTTGTAACCCCATTTGGGGTTTTCTTGACAAAGATATTGAGTGATTCGCTGTCCCCTTCCCATTACAGAAGAGGAAACTGAGGCAAACAAGGTTAAGTGATTTACCCACAGTTCACACAGGTAGTAAGTAACCAATTTACTGAGTAATGATTTATAATTTAATTAATCTCAATGCATAAAGAATTGAGAGGCAGTATCGAATAGTGGATAGAGAGTCAGCCTCAAAGCCAGGAAGACCTAGGTTCAGAGCCCCACCTCTAATGCACACTGGCTATGTGATCCTAGGTAACTGACCTAATTTCTCAGTCCTCCATCACACCATGACTGTAAGTTGCAGAAAATGTGCCAAGCTGTATTGGTAGAGGGAGTCTCTTCCCATTCCATTGTCAAAGAAAATGTCAACCCCTGCTTATATTCTTAGTCCCCTCCACCTGCCTTAAAAGAAAACCGTCAGGAAAGAAGCATGGAAGAACACTGGATTTGGAATCCATAGACTTGGGCTCAGATCTTGGTTCTACCACACATGAGCCACATGACCCTAAGAAAGTCATTTTCTTTCCTATGGGTCTCAGTTTTCTCATCTGTAAAACAGGTCATTTCTAGAGGTAGATAACGCTCTGAGGCACTGTGGCTCTTCCCCCCTGGAAGTGTATGACAATGGGCAAGTCATTCCATCTCCCTGGGCCTCAGCTGGTAGCCCCAGTTAGAGTTGCCCATAACAATAAAATCGTGAATCCAAATCCTTTCCCTCTCATCTCTACATAAAATATCATAACAATTTTTCAATCTGTCTCAGTCTGGGAGCCCTCTATCCAGGCCAGACAAGCAGAACCGACGAGCCACACAACACCTGAGTTAGCCCCACACGTGGGACCTGGACCTTAGACAAAACTGTGATGTAAGTAAAGCTTGCCTTTGCTTTCCTCCTTTGTCAACGGTCTTTCATTTGGCAAAAGGGAAAGAACATTGGATTTGAGTCTGAGAATCTGAGTTCAATCTCAACTCTGTTACTTACTACCTGTATGACCTCAGGTAATTGGGCAGTTCATCTTTCTAGGGTTCAGTTTCCTCATCAGTAAAATTAGGGGGTACTAGATGATCCTTGAAGTACCTTCCAGTCCTCGACCTATGAACCAACGATCCCATGATCCCAAGATGAGATCAATACCTACCAAGGTCTCCCCCTCCACCCAACATGGGTTAGACTAGTTTTTTCCCTTAAGGACACCAAAGCTGGGACTTGATTAGCACAGGGGTGGGGCAAGGTTCAAGCTTAATCTCCCTAGACAAAGCTTCCTAGTCACTCAAGGTATGTCATAAAAAGACTACATGGAACAGGGGCCCTTCAGACCTGGTGAATGACTTGAGACCACTTGAGTCACCGTACTCTTCTCTGTTGACCAGATGTATTTCCATAAAGAGACAAAGGGGCCTGACTACCCACACTAAGTGCTACTTTATTCTTGTTGAATATACTTCCTACGTTAGGACTAAATGAACCTATTAAAACTATTCAATGTATTTCAAGTGCCTCATTTCATCCTAACGTTAAATTTAAACAGGATGGTGCTGTCAGATATATCCCTAGCAGATTTCCTTTACAGGTACTTAAGTCTTGTTATTAATTTTAAGGTATCACTTGGTAATGAATGAAGGTGTAATCCTTTTCAAAAGTATTTCATAGAAAAGATGAAAGGTTTTTGAGGTACAAGAATGAATTTCCAATGGCAGAATGATTGGCAGGTAATGTTGGCTGTTTGGGAATCCTTCTGGAGGACTCTATATATGAGACCCGTCCTGATGATTAAAGGATGGTGATGATGGTGACGGTGATGATGGGGATGATGATCATGATGCTGGTGAGGAGAAGGAGGAGGAGGAAGAGGGGAAGAGAGGAGAAAGAGGAAATCAGTCACCCACAGATGACCCAGGTGCTCATAGCCAGGCATCAACATCCTCTAGTGCAGAGGGCTACTGCCTATATTTTCGCTCCATCTTGCCAGCATCCCCTTTAAAGACAATTTCCTAGTGATGCAAGAGTAGAGGTAAGCCTCCTTCACTCATACAGTTAGGCAGAGAGTCCAAGATGCCAAGATTCTCTCAGAGACTATGGGTTATCAACCAAAAGACATCCCACCATTCCCCAAAGTCAAAGGCTTACAGTGGGAGAGATTGAAAGAGGAAGAAAAGAGGAGAGAGGGATGTGAAAACCCAAATGTTGGCTATGTCTCCCCTTACCCCATGTCACTCCTCACCTGAGCAACTTCTTCAAAGTCATCATGTCTCTTCTGCAGGGCCCGGGCTCGATGCAGGGACTTCCCAACACCTGTATGTTTGCTGAGAAAGGCCTCACCGTGGTTTTCGATCCAGTCCAACACCTGATGAAAAAAGAAGGCCATCTACAGTTATTTCTCATTGTGAACTGGCTAATGGAGAGAAAAGAGCATCAATCCTTAACCAAGTGGTTTTATCTTATCTGCAAGTCAATTCAATTCAATTAAACAAATGTTAATTAAGCATCTAATATGTTTAAGTCAGGGACTTTAATTTGAGTTCTCCAGACCTCTCCAAGGATAGATTTTATTGAGCCCATGTAGTTGAATGAGGAAAAAGTTACATCTTTATTTTAATATAATTGGTTTCCTTTTAATCCTATATTTTTTTATACATTTAAAATATTATCCAAATAGGAGTCCATAAGCTTCATCAGACCGTCAAATGGGTTCATGAAATACAAAAAAGTTAAGAATCCTTGGTGTAAGGTACCCTGCCAGGCACTAGGGATTCAATGACAAAATCCTGCCCCCAAGGAGCTTATATTCTTCTAAGGGTAATACACAGACAAAGAGAAGTATAAACAAAGTAATTTCTTTGATGCAAGAGAAGGAAGAGCTGGGAAAGAAGCTCAGTATCCTAAGAAACAGAGATGAGGAGTAAATATATTCCAGACTTGACCATCAGTCTATCTCTCTACCTAGTGACCTTGGGCAAATGAAGAACCATTCTGAACCTCAGTTTTTTCATTTGTAAAATGAAGGGCTGGACTCAATGACCTCTAAGGTCCCTTCTAGATTCCAATCTATGGTCTTATGGAACACTATATGAAATTAGGAAAAAGTGCTATACTACATGAAGCAAAAGATAGAAAAGTAAATGAGAATTAAATCGTAGAGGGCCTTAGATGTCAGAGTGAGGAGTTTATATTTTATCCAACAGAGAATAGAGAGCCACTAAAGATTTTTTTAATAGGAGAATGACAAGATAATACCTGTGATTTAGGAAATTAATCTGGTAGTTTGTGTTTGGGTCTATTCTAGCTCTCCAGTAATTATCAATGAACCCATCTTACATTTAAGACGATCCAATATATGAAGTTGTTGTTGTTGTTATTTAGACATTTCAGTCATGTCAGGCTTTTCGTGACCCCATTTGGGGTTTTCTTGGCAAAGATACTGGAGTGGTTTACCATTCCCTTCTCCAAATACGTGAAGTACTGAACAACAAAGCCCTGAGTTAAAGATGAGCCTTTTAGTAAACCTTCAGAGTCTGAAAACTGGCACAGAAGAATTAAATGAAGTAAAAAATCCAGATCACGAATGAATTTGGCACCTTCGTTCTTTGTATGCCCTCATGACTAATCCTTATTTTTAAAAAATCTAGAGACTTCACTTACTCTTTCATGCCCTCACTTTCCTGCCCCCATTAGTAAATGAGCTAGATCTTAGCCTTTTAGCCCTAAAAATCTTAGAGGATAAATTTTTACTACCAAGGGTCATTGAATTGTGCATATCTTTTATCACCTTCAATATTTGCATGAATTTAAATAGATTTTTTTTTTTAAAAAGACTCAATGTTTTTCTAAGGTCCCTTGAAGCAAAATTTCATCAAGTTTGTCTGGGAAAAGGGCTCTTTTCTTGACTTGTGCAATTTAGCTTTATCCATTTTAAAGGAGATTACATTCAAGAATGCTAAGTAAGTTTGAATAGCTTCTTTCTGAAGTTGCTATAAGAATATTTGTTTGTCTTTATGTTCTGAAGAAAATAGAGAGACACAGGTGAGCTATGGTTGTGAGGTAGGGAGGTACTTGAAATGGTTGAAAGCAAGAGGGCTTCATCCTTTATCTCTATTAAATATTCTTGAAGACAAGATAGTTATCGGCTAGGAGACAGTAGTTAAATGGATGCCCACAAAACTTGGTGAACGATCAGACTAGAGTCATTATTAATGTGTCAATGTCACCAAACTGGTAAAACTTTGCTAATATGATAAATATCATTCAGGATACAAGATCTTAAAAGGCTAGAAAAATGGGTTGAATTTAAGGGGGAGGAAGGGATAAGTATAACGTTTTATGCAAGTTCAAAAAAAGATCAAAGGTCTGAGCCCAGGGTCAGGGAGGCTTGGCTGGATTTTTTCATGTGGCTAACAGTCCAGAAGTTTCAATGGTCTGCAAGTTTAAAGAGATAACAATGACATGGCAGCCCAAAACCAAAAACAACAATCCCCCACATACATACACATACAGTCACTCATCAAATAGGAGTAGATAGTGAGGGATATGAGACAGTAGAGATAAAAGAAGTTGGGAATTTTCCTTTCTCTTTGGGTCTTTAGGAGAAGACCCTCCATATATTTCCCCTTCACCTTAGAACTTTCTCAAAAAGATATGGGCTTAGGGGCAGCTAGGTGGCACAGTGGATAGAGCACTGGCCCTGGAGTCAGGAGGACCTGAGTTCAAATCCGGTCTCAGACACATAACACTCACTAGGGGTGTGACCCTGGGCAAGTCAGTTAACCCCAATTGCCTCACCCAAAAAAAAAAAATAGATATGGGCTTGGAAAAAAGTTCAGAGGCAGAGACTGGAATAAAATAACTTCTGACAGTACATTTCTAACTTTCTTATCTTTCAGGGAAATAGAGAGAGGAAGCCTCAAGAAGGCCAAAGCCGTAATAACTAATAAAAGTAAACGGATCCCTTTGACACAGAGATCCAACTGCTAGGCAGACACAACAAGAAGGTCACCAGTCTTCTTGAAAGAAGGGCCCTGAATCAACCAAAATAGTCACAGAAGTGCTTAGCAAAGAACTGGAAACAAAGTGAATGCCTGTTGATTGGGAAATAACCAAAGAAACTGCCCTGGGAGAAATGATGCTTATGAAGAATTCAGAGAAGCACTCGAGATATATAAGAACTGATGCAGAGTGAAGTAGGCTGAAAACAGTATACACTATGACAACAATGAAAATGGAAGAAGAAGAAAAGACTGAACAATGTGTAATTATGATGATTAAGCTTGTCTCTGAGGAAGAGATGAGAAAACATACCCTACTCCCTTCTCTGCAGAGATGGGACACTTTGGGTATGGAATTATCAAAAGCTGACCTGGTCGTTTTTTTTTTTCTCTTTCTTTTTTTATTCCTTGTTACAAGGAATAGTTAAGAGAGTAGGAAGGGGTAAATTTGGAGTTAAAAAAGATATATAAACAGAACATATTAAAAAAAAGTAAATGGACAAGAAGGTGAATTAAACTTTATGGGGCAGCTAGGTGACACAGTGGATAAAGCACTGGCCCTGAAGTCAGGAGGACTTGAGTTCAAATCCAGCCTCACACCAAACACTAGACACTTACTAGCTGTGTGACTCTGGACAAGTCATCTAACTCCAATTGCCCAAAAACAAAAACAAAAAAACTTCATGATATTTTCCTGAGTTTTTTAGCAAACAAAGTTATAAGATATGTTTCCCTATCTTTCTATGACAGGGGTGGGGACCCTATGGCCTCATGGCCACATGTGGCCCTCTAGGTTCTCAACTCTAGCCCTTTGACTGAATCCAAACTTCACAGAACAAATCTTTGGGAATATCTATAATTTTAATAGTCTCTAGGCCATTTGTTCTGTGAAGTTTGGATTCAGTCAAAGGGTCGCACTTGAGGACCTAGAGGGCCACATATGGCTTGCCGCTGTAGGTTCCCCACCCTTGGTCTATGACATTGGTGAATTGTCTTAACTGTGGCCTACTAAACCCTGTCAGGAACGCCTCACTCATCCTTTCTAGGAAGTCAGGACAGTTACCAGCATCCCAGGCTATGATGCTCAATCTCCTGCTGCCCTCTCTCTCCTAAACAGTTGTTCTCCAGATTGCAGACTCATTGCTCTTTGGAAGAGCAATGCTCCATGCTGGGGAAGAATGATTTTACTCTCTGATTAGAAGCAATAAGACTGGGTGCTCAGGTTTCCTTGCTAACTGGAACTAAGTTGGCATGGCAGGTATAGCATAAGAACTGATATCTCTATAGAGTTTTGTAATTTGCAAAACTCTTTACACATCAAACCTTGTGAGGCAGAGTAGTGGACCCATTTTAGAGATGACATCCCCACCTAAATGTCCCTAGGGATAACGTATCCAAAACAGAACTCATTCTCATCCCCACTTAAGCCTATACCCCCCTCCTGCCTTCCTTATTTCTGTGGCAGCCATCAGCAGTTCCCCATGTTGAAAACTTTGATGTCACCCTGGACTCCTTGCTCTGATTCACCCCCTGGACCCAATCCATGGCTGAGTCTTGCCTATTCCAGCTGGGTGACCCTGGGCAAGTCACTTAATCCCATTGCCTAGCCCCCCAAAAAATTACTCAGAAAAAGAAAGCTCTTCCTTCTCACCTCCACCTCTGGGAACTCCTATAGCTCTTTGAAGCTCAGTTCAAGCCCACCTCTCCAAGGGGGCCTTTCCCAATTCCCTCAGTTGTTAATGCCTTCTGTAAACCCCACTCAGCCGTTCCGTATTTATTTTGTGTCTATAGCCCACATTTACTTTTCTGCGAATGTGTTTCATCCCCACAGTAGAATGTAAACCTCTTGAGGGCAGGGGCTGTCTCCTTTTTATATTTGCATTCACGTTGCCTAGCGCATAGTAGGTGCTTTAATGACTGGTAAGACTGAAAGTTCAGTGACTTGTTCAATATCATAATGTTGAAAGTGGTATTCAGTTTTAGGTTTTCTAATTCCAAACCCAGGGCTCTTTTCATTATACTTACTCTTATATTATATTATACTTATAAACAATTGGCAAACCTCGATAGGACTACAGACTCAGAACTAAAAGGGATCTCAGCAGAAGCTGTCTAGTCCAAGTACTTCTCCTAGATTTAGTTCAACACCCTCACTTGACAGGTGAGGAAACTGAGGCACCAGGAAATTGACTGACTTGTCTAGGCATCTATTGTTTCCCTCCAATAAAACATAAGCTTTCTGAGAGTAAAGATTGTTTTGTTTTTATATTTTTATCCCCAGCTTTTAGCACAATGCCTGTCACATTACAGTAAGAACTTAATGTCCCGATCCTAGTCTCTATTACTTCAACTGATAAACTTTCAA